GCTCTGCGCTCCCAGGGCCCGTCACAGCGTCACACTCTGGAGTTGGCAGCATTTCGGTGCTACACGGCCAGTTTTGGGGATATGTGGGTGGACTGTGGCAGTAAGTTTTATTTGTTAGTTGACTTAGAGCTTCTGCCTACAAACATGCTCTGAAGGAAAATTCAGCTATTTCAGAGCAGAAGCGGTTAAAGAATTGGGTATTTGTGGCTTCCTACAGATGCGCTTACGTGTTTCTGAGCCCGCAGTGCTGCTGGGTTTTGCAGGCTGGCATCCCAGCGGGGCCAGGCTGGGCCGGCTGCGGGGCTGAAGCACAACCGCCTCATGTCTGAAACCGTGGAGTTACCTTTTCCCTTTGCAAATTCTTCTATTTATTCTACGTTCCACAAGAGAAGAAATAGAAAAGTCTCCTTTTAATTAAGCTCTTTATCCTTTGAAGTTATTTGGGATTTTTTTTCACATTGGTGATGTAATTTATGTAAATAATCATCTATCTATGAAAGGAGTGTGTCTGTCAAAAGCTAAAATAAAAAACATCCGTCATTTTGAAGTGATTAACATTCTCCAGATGTTTAAATCATCAGATTTCAGGAGTTTCCCTTTGTTGTGATAATGATATAGTATCCAGAACAAGAATGTTTACTTTTTTGTATGGGTCAAACACAGATTTTTCACAATCCTATTAAAGCATGCAGTTTATTGTAATTGTATGTGCAGATGAAAGCATACGCAGTTATTATTATTTCCCTTAATTGTAAACTGCTGCTGGTAATTTTACTGTAAAGCTGAAACAAAAGGAGCATACTTGAAAGGACCACCACTGCCCACTTATGTAATCAATTTATAGATGTCAAGTTTGCACAGAGATGGTTATCCCTCCCCGTTAGAGCACCGGTGACACGCTACCACCCTGCAGCACGCGCTCTCCCCCTCCTGTGTTTTGGGGGAGTTGCTCGGGTGTACAGTAGATGTAGCTGATAATATTAAGTGACAGTTCTGAACCGCTGTAGTCAAACGCGTTCAGCTTTAGGCTTCAGGGAAGAAGTAAAACGTGCATTCCTCTCTAATGCGACGGACCTCATGGCTGATCAAGGGAGCTTTACCGGTCCTCTGCCGCCCAGCTCGTCATGGTAACTGGAGCCACAAAGCCTTGCTGGAAGTCGCGGGGGTTAGGATCGGGGAAATGGCTACACGAGTACGGAGTGGATCGTTTCTTTGCCCTGCCAAGGTCCGGCAGAGCAACACCCTGCAGCTGGTGCAGCTCGCTAACGTACGAGAGTGACGTGTGGCTCTTGCGAGTCGCCACGCCGGCAAACGGTCCTTGGAACTGACAAAACACACCTGGATAAAGCTTTGAGGGGGCTGCTGGATGGTGGCAACTGGCTGACATTTTTCAGTTTTTGTTTTTAATGAAACC